ATGGTTCCGTTTTGTCACATGTGGGTTTTAAGAGTCAAAGTTTCGTGCAAAGTTTAGTCTAAGCAGTCAACTGCGCCTGTGAAACCACAAAGCTAATGTTTTCATAGCAGTCCGCGGCTGCTGACGTAGGCTGATGACGCGTCCTACACTGGTCTGTCGGGTTGATAATGGAAAATGGGGAAAAAAATCTATCTAATTAAATATTTTGTTTGAACACACTATTGTTAATCATATTAAATACAGTACGATACATGTATTGAATGAAATTTATTATTTTCCATTATCAACCCGACAGACCAGTGTAGGACGCGTCAGCAGCCGCGGATTCGTGTCTTAATTCGTTCGTATTTCAACTTTTAAAGCAATTCACGGTATGCTTCGGTTGCCGTGAGACGCGCATGCGCAGGTTTGCATTACATCATAAACAGCTGAGGCAGTGCATCTCTTCAAGACAGTGTATCTCGGCGTTACACCGGTCTCCCCAGAGTCCGGACCTGGATCCAGGAGGAGGGTCCAAGGTTCAAGGATCTACCCGAGTCACGAACAGATGAAAGTTCGGACGAGGAGTGAATATTTGGAATGATTTAATGAGAAATATAAAAAACTGTTTAAAAAAGACACTTAGGAAATACTTCAGCCCAGAGCGAGAGGGGAGGGAGGGGGAGAGGAGGGAGGAGAGAGGAGGAAGAGGGGAGGAGAGGAGGGAGGGGAGAGGAGAGAGGAGGGAGAGGGGAGGAAGGAGAAGAGAGGGAGAGGGGAGGAAGGAGGGAGGAGAGAGGGAGGAGAGAGGAGGGAGGGGAGGAAGCTCTGTCTGCCTATTGCCATTTGTGTGTGTGTGTGTGTGTCTGCGTGTGTGTGTGTGTGTGTGTCTGTGTCTGCGTGTGTGTGTGTGTGTCTGTGTCTGCGTGTGTATGTGTGTGTTCGATCTCACATGTGCTGGGAGGCGTTGGGAAAGAGAGCGCTGAATTGCGGCGCAGAATCCTCCGGACCATGTGGGGCAGCGTGACTCAGAACCATGAGCACAGGTCGATGAGGGTAGGTCCGCTTTGAGGCCCGGAAGAACTTCTGAGCTTCTGCAGTTATCACATCTGTAAAGTAGTCCTACAGCAGAGGAGCACGGTCAGTAGCGGTCAGTAACGGTCAGTAGCGGTCAGTAACGGTCAGTAGCGGTCAGTAGCGGTCAGTAACGGTCAGTAACGGTCAGTAGCGGTCAGTAACGGTCAGTAGCGGTCAGTAGCGGTCAGTAACGGTCAGTAGCGGTCAGTAGCGGTCAGTAGCGGTCAGTAACGGTCAGTAGCGGTCAGTAGCGGTCAGTAGCGGTCAGTAGCGGTCAGTAACGGTCAGTAACGGTCAGTAGCGGTCAGTAGCGGTCAGTAGCGGTCAGTAGCGGTCAGTAACGGTCAGTAACGGTCAGTAGCGGTCAGTAACGGTCAGTAACGGTCAGTAACGGTCAGTTAACGGTCAGTAACGGTCAGTAGCGGTCAGTAACGGTCAGTAGCGGTCAGTAGCGGTCAGAAACGGTCAGAAACGGTCAGTAGCGGTCAGTAGCGGTCAGTAACGGTCAGTAACGGTCTGTAACGGTCAGTAGCGGTCAGTAGCGGTCAGTAGCGGTCAGTAGCGGTCAGAAACGGTCAGTAACGGTCAGTAGCGGTCAGTAGCGGTCAGTAACGGTCAGTAACGGTCTGTAACGGTCAGTAGCGGTCAGTAGCGGTCAGTAGCGGTCAGTAACGGTCAGTAACGGTCAGTAACGGTCAGTAACGGTCAGTAACGGTCAGTAACGGTCAGTAACGGTCAGTAACGGTCAGAAACGGTCAGTAACGGTCAGTAACGGTCAGTAACGGTCAGTAACGGTCAGTAACGGTCAGTAACGGTCTGTAACGGTCAGTAACGGTCAGTAACGGTCAGTAACGGTCAGAAACGGTCAGTAACGGTCAGTAACGGTCTGTAACAGTCAGTAACGGTCAGTAACGGTCAGTAACGGTCAGTAACGGTCAGTAGCGGTCAGTAACGGTCAGTAACGGTCAGTAACGGTCTGTAACAGTCAGTAACGGTCAGTAACGGTCAGTAACGGTCAGTAACGGTCAGTAACGGTCAGTAACGGTCAGTAACAGTCAGTAACGGTCTGTAACAGTCTGTAACAGTCAGTAACGGTCAGTAACGGTCAGTAACAGTCAGTAACGGTCTGTAACAGTCTGTAACAGTCAGTAACGGTCAGTAACAGTCAGTAACGGTCTGTAACGGTCAGTAGCGGTCAGTAACGGTCAGTAACGGTCAGTAACGGTCAGTAACGGTCAGTAACGGTCAGTAACGGTCAGTAGCGGTCAGTAACGGTCAGTAGCGGTCAGTAACGGTCAGTAACGGTCAGTAGCGGTCAGTAGCGGTCAGTAACAGTCAGTAACGGTCAGTAACGGTCAGTAACGGTCAGTAACGGTCAGTAACGGTCAGTAACGGTCAGTAACGGTCAGTAGCGGTCAGTAACAGTCAGTAACAGTCAGTAACGGTCAGTAACGGTCAGAAACGGTCAGTAACGGTCAGTAACGGTCAGTAACGGTCAGTAACGGTCAGTAGCGGTCAGTAGCGGTCAGTAACGGTCAGTAGCGGTCAGTAACGGTCAGTAACGGTCAGTAGCGGTCAGTAACGGTCAGTAACGGTCAGTAGCGGTCAGTAACGGTCAGTAACGGTCAGTAACGGTCAGTAGCGGTCAGTAACGGTCAGTAACGGTCAGTAGCGGTCAGTAGCGGTCAGTAACGGTCAGTAACGGTCAGTAGCGGTCAGTAGCGGTCAGTAACGGTCAGTAACAGTCAGTAACGGTCAGTAACAGTCAGTAACGGTCAGTAACGGTCAGTAACGGTCAGTAGCGGTCAGTAACGGTCAGTAACGGTCAGTAACGGTCAGTAGCGGTCAGTAGCGGTCAGTAACGGTCAGTAACGGTCAGTAACGGTCAGTAACGGTCAGTAACGGTCAGTACAGTCAGTCAGTAACGGTCAGTAACGGTCAGTAACGGTCAGTAACGGTCAGTAACGGTCAGTAGCGGTCAGTAACGGTCAGTAGCAGCCTCAACAGGACCTGACCTGTGGATATCGGTCCCGGTGCTCCCGTCGGAACCCGTTAACGTTCAGGCTGTAGTTATAGAAGCGACTGTTCTTGATCAGACCCACCCAGTGCCTCCAGCCACACGGGATGTACGAGCCGTTGTACTCATTCAGGTATTTACCAAAATACGCTGAAAATAAAATACACAAATATATACATTTCAAGTCAGGCAGTTGGAATAATAGTGATTTGTCTGGAGACTTTTCATGTTTAGCAGAGTGTCAAAGTCAAGGCCCAGGAGCCAGATCCGGCCGCGAATGAATGATCTCGGTCCCGGGATTATATTTGGTTAGTTTTAGAGCGACATAAGAAAATATTGGATTATTTTATTATTATTATCAGGACAAGAAAGTTTGTTATTGTCTGTGAGCTGTTGGAAAATGTACAGACAGAGCCATAATGTTGGATAATTAATTGAATCTATAAATTAAATATGATCCACTGTGTTAGGTCTTGGTTCAACAGGTTTTATGCAGAATTTTCATGTTTTAATAAACATTGACCCAGTCTGGCCCTCAGCTTGTAGCAAATTAGTATTTTTTGCCTCTGATGTGTTCGACTTTGACGTCCCTGGACTACATCGTCTCAAAAGAATATGGAAATACCAAATAAATGTAGCTTTTAGGTACAGTAAGTATAGCGTTTTGTGTAAGTCCCTAAAGTAAATGTATATGATTATTCTCTTTTTACCCAGCCTGGCTTTATCCATCCGTACTCTCAGGTCAGTCATCATGTCCTGCATGTAACGTCTGGGTCTGGTCCCTGTGTTTGTGATTACAATCGGTTGAATTCCATCCGACCAATCAGAGAGCGTGGGAGGCGGGTGTTGTAGTTAGTTGTGGGTGACGTCACGAGTTTGCGTCGAACGGGCAGGTTGTAGTTTGGCAAAGAATGTGATAGTAAAGTATTCTGGTCTGGTTCTATCAAGAAACTGAAGCCGGAGCAAGAGGAATGTTTAGCAAATGTAATCGCTGGTAAAGATTGTGGCTCTACTCCCCATGGGCTCCGTTAGCGGCAAAGGAGACGGCTAAAGCTAGGCTAAATGCTAAATGCTAACAACTCTCTCGGGCTCATTACATACGTCACAGTAAACTCAGATCCAATGGTTTCAATCTGCAAAAGGAGTTAGCCCCTCCCACCTGTTGACGGAGTCAATGCAGCACAGTCAGACCTTAGTACTGAATGTAGTTTGTACTATGGTGTGGTACGACCAGACTACTTTTCCACAACAGTTCTTTTGTAATTGCCACTTTGGCCAATGATCAGATAATAGAGACACTGAAACTAAGAATCACACCACGCACTAATTGTATCTGATCAGCAGGGGAAGTCCTTCAAACCATGTCTTTCAACCATAATCAACCACCGCCACGTTTTCAAGTTACTTTGGATCAAAAATATCTCCTTTCCTCCATGTTTCCAGCAGTACCTGTCCTGTAGCCAGTGTTGTTGAGGTGGACAGCGAACGTCTTTGGCTCGTGCTGCCGCTGCCAGGACGGGGAGGAGCAGTTCTCATTGTTTGTGTAGGTGTTGTGATTGTGCACGTATCTGAGCAAAGACAGCAACAGAACTCATGAAATCTGCACCGACCAAAATCACACTGATAAAGAAATCTTGTATTAAAGCAATCCGAGTTCACATCAGATAGTTTTAAGAGTAAGTTTGGAACTAATCCTCCACTCGTTATACCTAACTCCAACTATAAGTCTGAGTTCCACCCAGAGAAAGTCTGTGAGAACATGCAAACACTATTCATTAAAATATTCTAAATGTTGCTCAGGTATTTTGTATTAGGACTTGCTTCATATTCACTCTCAAAATTAATGCTAAAATGTAGAATTTTTCAGAAGTATAGTTTATATTTTTCTCTGCAATGCATTCTGGGTCACAATACATTTTGTTTTAAATCAACACAATGTATTTATTTTGTCATTAATGGAACACAGCGCTCACAAACTAAAGTATTGTACAGGGTGCTATCATAATGTTATACGGTACTTCTTCATCAACCAAAAATATGAAATAATTCAAAATGAAGGAGTATACTTAATACTTACAAAATACTTAAATATTTTAATATTTGGTCTGATTTCCTTATTGCAGTGCAGATGTATCACAGATGTGTCAGATGTATCACAGATGTATCACAGATGTGTCAGATGTATCACAGATGTATCACAGATGTGTCAGATGTATCACAGATGTATCACAGATGTATCACAGATGTGTCAGATGTATCACAGATGTATCACAGATGTGTCAGATGTATCACAGATGTGTCAGATGTATCACAGATGTATCACAGATGTGTCAGATGTATCACAGATGTGTCAGATGTATCACAGATGTGTCAGATGTATCACAGATGTGTCAGATGTATCTGTCAGTGTTATTGCTCTGCTTGAAATGTCAAATCTGAGTAGCGTGCAAGTCGAAAAGGACAAACTACAAAAATATTCAGGCAAAAACAACAAAACCACCAGGACAGTTAGAGCAATGAACCGTTAAATCATTCAAACACTTACTTCCCAGTGAGCATGCTCGATCTTGACGGACAGCACATGGGCGTGGTCACAAAGGCGTTGGTGAAGGAAGTCCCGCCCTCCTCCATGATCCGCCGTGTTTTATTCATGACCTGCAGAGAACCTGGACACCAGAGGAAGAGATGTTAGCCAGTCTGAACCGAGTCGTTTCTCTGTGATAACTATAGAGGTGCAGACCGAGCTCGAGGTCTTGGTCATCTGTCAGGACCAGGATGATATTGGGCCTGATGTTTCGCCGGTCTCTGTGGAGGCGGGGCTTCAGACCAGTTGTCATGGAAACCAGCAACAAGAAGAGAGACAGAGAGAGGAGGAGGCGGGCCATGGCGATCCCTGGAGTTCAGCTCAGAAACCCACCGGTTCAGTCACAATCTGCAGCAGAGTTAATATATTAAAAACATTATTGAGGGAAACGGGTGTATACTGCCCCCTACTGAGCGCTATGACCACTGGGACACAATACGGTTTCTTTGTTCTAGTTCAAAAGTCAATTTACACACATGAAGGCCTGTCACAATAGCAATATATCATTTATAAGAATGATTGTAACGGGCCATGCAATGCAGACAGACTGGGCATTTTGGACGTAACACTTTGTCCACTTGTTACGCCCAAAACCTTTATATTACAGACGTGAACGAATCTGTGTTAAAGTAGTGTGCCCTCTACTGGACAAACCAGGAACCAAACAAGAGTGTGAACATTCAGCAGTAGCCTTCTCTAAGTCTGTAGACAAATCGAGGCAAATTAAAACAGCCCTTTATGAAAATGTGTCCAAACGTGGTACTGCAGCCTCTCCCACTCTCCCTGACTCAGGTTGCCAGATATGCAGACGAATCTAGCTGGGACCGTAACAGCTGAATAGACAAGAGTTTTGTCAACAACAAATCTATAACCAACACCTTTTTCACAAAGATAGAAATCCTGGTTTTATTCCTTGTTTTGTCGTTAATGATTTGAGAATCATAACAAGACCTTTTTTAGTTCTGCGCCACATGGTACTTTACCAGTGAGATTAGCTCCACGCTGTGAGTTCTGGCGTGTGGACGACAGATTAGGGCCCTTTAATTATGACTGGACATGAGAATCTTATATTGCTGATTCAACATTGATGAGAGCAGAGAGGCGCTGGGGCAGAGGTGATGCAGAAAGTGTCCAAACAGACCGTGTGATTTATCCGTGTATGATCACTGTGGGGGAGACCGTGGCTCAGATGGTAAAGCATTGTGTTCGAGTCCACCACGAGACCTACTGCACCCCTCCCACTGATGTCATTGTGTCCTTGGACAAGACACTCCGCTGACCCAGAAATGGATTAAGGGGAAGAAAAGGAATGAGAGACTTACTTTGAGTTTGTGTCTGAACAAAAATGTTTGATCATTATAGAAAATAAACCAATTTTTAATAGAATATTTAGATTGTATTTGAGTTGATAAACTCTCTGGACTCTGAGGAGCACAGGGACTGGCGGCCTGCTGGGACTCTGAGGAGCACAGGGACTGGTCTCCTGCTGGGACTCTGAGGAGCACAGGGACTGGCGGCCTGCTGGTCCCAGAGTCAGGACTAAACATGGGGAGGCAGTGTTTCAGATTCATGCAGCTGAAACCTGGAACAATCTTTACTGAAAATGTGAGATAGGATTCTTCTCTGATGATGTAGTTCTGTTTCTACTACAACTGAACGATTTTATATTTTTATCTTTCATTTTAACGCACTGTGATTATTTATGATCTAGTTTTGTTGGAGTCGTGTATGACCTGTGCTATACAATTAAACTTGCCTTTGTGCTGATGTTTCTCTGTATTGTTTTAAAGTTGCTAATTTTTACGTCTTGTGTCTGTGTTAAATAAATGAAAAAATTCTGTAAAATTGTGTTATGTAAAAAAAAAAGGGTTGATTTGCCAAAAGCAGATTAAAAAACCCGTTAAAACAGACATTGATCAAAAAAGGCAGATGTTCAGAAAAATAATGTTCAAAGGAAATAAAAACCTACACTCTCTTGGTTTTAGTTCAGTCTGGTCTTAAATTAGACCCGGTTCAGTTCCAGTTTAGACATAAAGTAGGATGTGGTTGCTGTGGTGAAGGCACTGGTCACCATGACAACGGCAGCTCAGCATCTCTCAATGTTTACCACCGACTGCCGAGCTGATATTAACCCGAGTAAACTCTCTCAGTGCGGACAGAGATGGGTTCTGGTTTGGATCTAATTTAGACCTGGTTTAGACCTGGTTTAGACCTGGTTTAGACCTGGTTTGGTATCATACTGCTATAACTGGGTAGAGCTATTGTGGTTCAGACCTAGTGCAGACCTGGTTAATGGTACCTGGCTTATTAGAACCTGGCCTTTTGACTCTATTCCACCTTGGTTTAGTCCTGGTTTAGTCTTGGGGTAGTCCTGGTCCAATTGTGCTTTAGACCTGCTTTAGTCCTGTTTTAGTCTTGCTTTAGTCTTGCTTTAGTCTTGCTTTAGTCTTGCTTTAGTCTTGCTTTAGTCTTGCTTTAGTCTTGCTTTAGTCTTGCTTTAGTCTTGCTTTAGTCTTGCTTTAGTCCCTTTTAGTCCCTTTTAGTCCCGCTTTAGTCCCGCTTTAGTCCCGCTTTAGTCCCGCTTTAGTCCCGCTTTAGTCCCGCTTTAGTCTCGCTTTAGTCTCGCTTTAGTCCTGCTTTAGTCCTGCTTTAGTCTTGCTTTAGTCTTGCTTTAGTCCCGCTTTAGTCCCGCTTTAGTCCCGCTTTAGTCCTGCTTTAGTCCCGCTTTAGTCCCGCTTTAGTCCCGCTTTAGTCCCGCTTTAGTCCCGCTTTAGTCTCGCTGTAGTCTCGCTTTAGTCCTGCTTTAGTCTTGCTTTAGTCTTGCTTTAGTCTTGCTTTAGTCCTGCTTTGGACCAGGTTTGGACCAGGTTTGGACCAGCTTTAGTCCTGCTTTAGTCCTGCTTTAGTCCTGCTTTAGTCCTGCTTTAGTCCTGCTTTAGACCTGCTTTAGACCTGCTTTAGTCTTGCTTTAGTCTTGCTTTAGTCTTGCTTTAGTCTTGCTTTGGACCAGCTTTAGACCAGCTTTAGACCAGGTTTAGTCCTGCTTTAGTCCTGCTTTAGTCCTGCTTTAGTCCTGCTTTAGTCCTGCTTTAGTCCTGCTTTAGTCCTGCTTTAGTCCTGCTTTAGTCCTGCTTTAGTCTTGCTTTAGTCTTGCTTTAGTCTTGCTTTGGTCCTGCTTTAGTCTTGCTTTGGTCCTGGTTTAGTCTTGCTTTAGTCTTGCTTTAGTCTTGCTTTGGTCCTGCTTTAGTCTTGCTTTGGTCCTGGTTTAGTCCTGGTCTGGAGCGTGCCTGTGGGTGGCCTCCTGTCCTGGATTAGCACAGTCTGAATGTGTTGATCTGGTTTTGTGGGGGTCTGAATGGGTCTGAATGGGTCTGAATGGGGTCTAACTGGGGGTGACTGGTCCCTGAATGAGATCATATGTTTAGATCCCGCACTGAAAGGATCCTGGTCCAGTCCTGGTCCAGTCCCTGAAAGAGACCTGTCCCGTGTGTGAAAGCTCTCGTCAGTCTCTTTGTGGGACTCTGTGAGAATCTGGCTCTGGGTCAGAAATCTCATTTAAATCCTACTTTAGACTTCTGACCCGGGACAAGTTTGGAACCGGGACTAAAAAGAGACTCATGGCTCAAAACAGAACCAGGACTAAACTTATTTCTGTTCTTTAAACTTGGTCTTGGTTTAGTCCTGGTTTAGTCCTGATTCAGTCTTGGTTTAGTCTTGGTTTGTGCCTTGGTTTAGT